TTTGCTTCTGCCAGAGATCTGAGAGCACTATTATTCAAAAACTATTCTGAATTATCATCTTAAGGTGTTTTGGAATCACCCAGGTAGTATAAATTCAAGTTACATTTTTGTGTGAGAGCTGGAGTGTAATTCCAAGTTCTCAGATATGATTTTGTTTTTTTTCCCCTGTCCACTAGGTGCCAAATTTTAAGACAGTAAATTTTCTTTGCAGGGAGGTGTGTGTATACTAGTAAGGGGCAAGGGGCAAGTTTATTTCTAGCACATCTTTAAGCTGAATGAATAATCCTTGGAACCACAGCTTTCCGTGTGTGTGTGTGTGTGTGTGTGTGTGTGTGTGTGTGTGTGTGGCAGGTCGTGAGTTTTGTCTATTATAAGGTAATGAAAACCAAATTGGGTTTGGCAAATGCTTTTAGGGTAAAAGCTGACTTTTAGGCTCTGCTCAATTCTCTAGATTTCTGTCTTCATTTCTTTTTTTAAAGATTTTATTGGGAAATTGAAGGAGGGAAACAGCATTGGGAAATCGAGGAAGGGGAACAGAGAAGTTACTGTCCTTTTGTTCTTCAGTCTAGCTGTGGAGGACGTTGCTTCACTGGCCCATGTTGGTATTATCATTGCGCTCTTCCCAGGTGAGGCAGTCGCTCGCTGGCCATTGGATGGCTGCTCATGGTGGCTCAAGGCAGCACACGAAAGAGCATGCCCAGTGACAGCCAGCTCCACTGCAGCCTACACCGTGGCCAGTGAATCATAGCAGCCCAGCTCCAGGTTCACCATGTTAGCTGTAGAGGGTGCAGGGTCACTGGCCGGCATGTGGGGTCCAAACCAGGGTCCTGCTGCTCAGAGCTGGCGTCCCAAGCCAACTCTTAACCAACATGCCACTCGGCCAGCCTTCATTTCATTTTTTGACCTAATAATTTCTTACTTTATTTCTAGTTAATCAATATATTTAGTAAGATTCAAAATTTTTTTTTCCAGAGTTTTTGTTTTCAGTGTGATCACTGATTTGGGTCCATGATATTGCCAGAAACAGAAGCCTATATTCATCTTTATATTTTGTTTATCTAAACTTTCCTTGGGGGATATTTCTTTAAAACAAATAATACTAAACAGAAATACCTAAAATCAATATGCAAATATTTTGCAAGCAAATCTGTAGATTTTATATATACATTACTTTTTAATATAAATATTAACTGGATGTTTACTACATATTTGGTTGACTATTTTGTATATGTCTAATATTATATTTTACTAAATAGAAGTTTAAATATTATTGTTCTATAGTGCATTTAGCCTTCAAACACTATCTGCTGGCTCAAATTCACTGTAGTGATTTGTGAGATTATGCTATATAACAATTTAAAAAATCTCTGTGATTTAGAACATCAAACATTTATGTTTTACTCTTGTTTCATGTTTTCTGCTGCAGGTCAGCTGCTGCAGAACTGATCCAAGGTAAAGGTCAATTTTAGATCTGCTCCACATGTTTCCTCATTCAGAGACTCTGTTTGGAGCATGCCTTTGTCATGGCAGGCAGAACAAGACTGGGAAGCACCTGAACCTTGCACTCAGATTTAAAGCATTTAGCATATGTCACATATGCTCACAAACCATTGGCTAGATAGAGCAAGTGACATGACCAAGAGCAGTAATACAATCTACCACTGTCTTCAAAGTTGTGTTGAATACCTTATTTATGTCTGAGGTTGCTCTCAATCTTCTCCGAGAAAAGTCCTCATTAGCAACCTTTGACAACTTAAGTGTCTAGACAGGCTAAAGGGGAAGAGAGAAAAAAACCACCTCAAGCTAAATCTCCCTCACTCTAGGTCACGGTTGAAATATAGTCTGTGGGAAAGATTATCATGCCTGTCAGTGCTTAAACTGATTTGAAAAAACAAACAAAAAAACACCTCCTCATTCTTAGAAATGAATAATTAAACACTAGGCAAAAGAGATGAATTTTCATTGCAGTTAAAATTAATAGTTATAACAAAAAGTGTCCTTTTAAAATGTTAGTCTTAAAATCATTTTAAGAGTAGCAAACTTGCCAAGTATCTTAATATAGTAAATGGGAGTTATCGGATATTTTTCAGTTATAGTGCAGAATCATGTTACAGTTTCTGTTTTTGTTGTGATTACATTGAGAATGCTAGATTGATCTGAAATCATAGTTGAATGATTTGAAATCATAGAATATTCAATTGGAAAGGATCTCAAAAGCATATATTTTTCAACTGTAGTGTACCGATATATCATTTTGTTGCAGTCAGTTGTGAGGTATGTCAAAATCATTAGTTATTCATAATAAGAAACTATTACTAGCAATAGTTAAAATACAGAGGATTGTGAAAGATATATTTACTTTTGTTTTCCTGTAATATCTACCTGCATTCCATTTTTTTTTTTGAGTGGGACTGAAAGCAGTTGCAACTAGCTTGACAAGAATTTGTGTAATCCTAGGTATACCATGACTGTTTGTTTCAAATGTGAATATCATCCATTGGAGAAAAAGGTTGAGCATCATTCCTTAAAGAATGTAGTCCAACTCCCTACTTTTATCAGAACTTGAAATGTAGAGAGTAATTTATTTAGTCACACATCTAATTAGCTAAGTCTATAACCTAGGCCTCCTTGCTTCCAGTACAGTACTTCCCATTCCAATAAATGATCACATATTTTCAACAGCCAATATAAGAGAGTGGGGCTGAGGCAGGAGAGGCAAGGCAATGTCTTTTTCCAATCTTAAGCCTTAGTTTCAAATTAAAGGAAAAGCACCAGAGAAACAGAGCCCAGATGGTATATTTCACATGTTATCTATGCTCTAGGAACATTCTTTATCAAATCTATTTGATTGTCACTCACAATAAGAAATAGTTTAAATCACAAATTAGGACACACTCTCATCCTCCCCTGTAACTGAAAAAGTTTTACAAAGCCATTCTTGCCCTTATTAGAGATGCACTCTGACTCTATTCCATTCTAGCCTACTTCATTAAAAAATAAAGTGGATTTTTGAGTCATATTGAAAAAAAAACTACTCTAGAAAATAGGAGACAGGTTTCAATCTGTTGACAAACTCCAAAGTTTCTAGCTTTGCTGAAATGTCACATACAGAATAAACTTTCTTTTTTTTTTT